TTTTGTTTTTGTTTTCTTTCGTTTTTGGTAGTAGCTACGCTCGAAGGGGACCAACAAGTCTCGACTGGACACACCACGACGCAATGCGAGACTTTCTTGGACTCGAACTTCGTAACGATTAACCTCTTGCGCTGGACGTGCCCAATATTTGCCCCAAAATTGCAATATTTTTCTCAGTTTTAAGTACATTGAAACATAACCCAGGCAAAACAAATGATAAGTTTATCACTTGGGAATAATTTCTGTCCAGTGACGTCATGCCGACGAGTTCAAAAGAAAAAGAAAGGACTGTTGTGTACACAGTTTGGTCACTCGTTATGGTCCGCAATCAGTTTGCCAGCGCGAGTAGTTAAGATGGACTAGGTTATAGGTAAAAAGACACTGTAAAATTTGTTATCAAAACAATGCTAGAAAGTAACAACGTTAAAGTATTATTATTAGCATTTAGTATTATTGTAAAGTATAATATAATATAATAGTAGTATAATATAGTAGTAATGTAAGTATAAGTATCCTGTTCAATTGTTTCAGATTCAACATGAAACTTTGTCGACTGTGTTTCTTCAATATGCGACTTCGTTTAAGTATAGTTAATGATACAGAATTTTAATCTCTTGAAAAATTGCCTTTACTATTTTATAAACTTTCGTTAACCTCTTGCACTGGCAAGTCGAGAATATTTTAGCCCAAACTTGGCTTCAAGTATATTGAAATACAACCTAGACAAAACAAATAATAAGTTTATTACTTCTTTAGGAATTTCTATCCAGTGATATATACCGATAAATTCAAAAAAAGAAGACGAATTATTGTATACGGTTTGGTCACTCGTTATGGTTCGCAATCAATTGCCAGCGCAAGTTAAACTCCATCGTTTTCGAACGCCATATCGGAAGTCGATAAACACATAAGACGAATGAAGAATAAAGACAAAAAAGGACAAGAACTTTTTTGTTTAACGTAAGCTTTGGAATCCACGTTTCTGTAGAACCAACTAAAGTAACAGACGAAATGGAGAATTCAAATTTTATACCATTAAGAGTTTTCAGTCTTTGAACAAAGTGTAGATGGATTCTCCCGGTGGAGAGCAATTCGAAAGTGAGTATTTGCAGTTCTTTAAATGAAAATTTAACTTTCATGAATGTCGTGTTCTTTGGATGTTTGTTTAGACATTTTGGGCTTCCTCCATAAAAGTTAAAAATTCACTTTTTGAACAATAAGAATGTTTTGGAGATTCTTGGGTGATTGAGAACCACTGAGGTGCCCGTAGCAGGTCAGGATATTTGGTTTGGCAATTATTACATCGACTTTTAGGGCCAAGAATAATTTGGGTCTGAGGTTCTTGATAAGTTTAATCCTTTGGGGAAGTTATAAAGGCCACTGCATTGCCGCATGTAGTATATGATCGAGGTCTTCGAGTTTGTGGCCACATCTGCCCTCCAGGGTCGCAAACAATTACCGATACGAAGCAAGAATGTTTCCAAGTTGTAACAATTAGCTCTGGCACGATTTACTGGCAGATATAAATTCTCTATTTTTATTTTATTGATAAATAAAAAAATAAAATGTAATTCTATATTAAAAACAAACAAAGAAGTAAAAAATAAAATTGTAGATTTATAAATAAAAAATAAAATATAATTGTACATTAATAAATAAAAAAGCGAAAAATAAAATTGTATGTTAATAAATAAAAAAATAAAATATAATTCTATAAAATAATAAACAAAAAAATTAAAAAATAAAATTGTATATTTATAAATAAAAAAATAAAATATAATCGTATATTAATAAGTAAAAAAGCAAAAAGTAAAACTGTATATTAATAAATAAAAAAATAAAATATAATTGTATGTTAATAAATAAAACAGTAAAAAATAAAATTGTAAATTGAGAATAAAATTGTAGCAATAATGTACAACGTAATTTATACTATATATTAAAAATTTAAATTATTACGTAAAGTAATACTATATATTATATATATTATGTATATTATATTACTATATATACAAGTATACTATATATTAAAAATTTAAATTATTACTAAGGCTTTTACTGAGCAAAGGAATTGAAAGTTTTCAGTATAGAATTGGCCGACATAGTTACCGTGGCCTTACGTAGGTCTTGATTTGTTAAAAAATTTGTTGAGTGGCAATTAGCTCTTGATTTAAAGAGAGCTAACAAACCAAAAAAAGGGACTTGTCCTACGTTTTCAAAGGTAGACACAGACCTGGCGAATTTATCGACGTCCTCGATATCTACCAGATATCCCGAGTCATCCGTGCGAAAGACAATTGAACTAATTGCGTACAAGACACGCTCGCTGGAAAAATCGAGCACCGAGATTATGATAAACAACAGAGGTGACGAACCCGAGTTGAAATTACTTATTTATCCAGTCTCGCTTGTTATTCAAATAGAGACTCTGAGAAATACAAAGAAGAGGAGTGTGACACTCTCAAATTGGTGTCTCTGTGTATGTGTGTGTGTCTGTGTATCTGTGTGTGTGTGGCCATAAAGTTTCCTCGCCGAGCAAGCGAGCGAGCCTCTCTCTCTCCGAATGAAATTTTCTCGTTCAGCTCGTGTACCACGACCGACGCTAATTATATTCGCTATACCCTCAACAGTTTCCACTTGCCAAATTTTCACCTTTTCGAGGATGGGCTGATTCGACAAAAAAAAAAAAGAAGAAAAATCCGTTTCGATGCGACAACAGACGCTAATTAGCGGACGCTGGATGGCGTTAAATCGTGGCGTGCGATTCGTCGATCGACGAGCACGATTAATTTGTACTTTTTTTTCTTTTCTTTTGCTTTTTGTTTCAATTAATAGCCTCTCGGAACGCCAGCTGCATACGAAATCGAGCGCGTACGCGAGGAAATATTTGGAGGTCCAATCTCAGCGAATTGAATTATCACGGTCGAATGGTTTCTTCGCGAACTGTAACGGAAATTACGAAATGCGAAACGGCGGGCTGGGGAAATTGTTTCATCTGTATAATAATTTGTAACGGTTGCACTTGTCGCGTCGGATTAACCGAGAAATATTCGACGTTTTTCTTTTTTTTTTTTTTCTTTCTTTCTTTTTTTAACGATCAACTGGGCGTCTTGCGCTCGATGAAATCATATGAAGGCATAGTCTTAATTAGCGAGTTTAATTGGCTAGATGAAACGCAGCAAAATCGAAACGCGCGGCGGCGAAAAACAGGCAATTGTCCCGCGACACGAACGCAAACCGAATTTCGGCGAAACGAATTTGTTTCCCCCGTGGTATTAACGAGCCAATGCCGCGGTATAGCAGGCTCTCGCTCATCGGATCGACCGTCGAATTGAATCATTTAATACATTGTCGAGTTGTTCGTCATTGTATATATTTTTTAATTACCTCAAGGAGTTTCGAAAAATCTTTTTGTTTTGTTTTAAATAGTAGTTTGAAGTCTTGGAAACAAGATGGCAAAAGGTCCTAGCCTTTAAAACGACTTACTTTGGGGTATAATAATAAATCCGCGGATACAGAATAATTGAGTTTGCATCGCTGTTTACAACTTGAAGCAGTATTATAAAGTGTACATCGTGTGATTCAAATGTTACTATCGGTGAGTCGAATATTAGAGGGACTTGGATTCAATTTAGTTGTGAATTGTAAGAACTGTGAGCGACGATATATAAGTAAAAAAAAGTAAGTAAAGGACACATGTGAAAAGTGTCGTTCTGAAACTTTAAACGCGTTCTTTCTCGAAACTAGGTTTTTATAAACGATGTGCAAGATATCGCGGAATCTAACCAACCGATTACCGTGAAACTTGGTACGTATCTTTAGTGTAACATTTACTAGGGTTTGACGATCGAACATTTTTTAATTTTCAACAATTTCGAAAAATATAAAGAAAAAACGTAGAAATTTTTGGCATAAATTCGATACATTAGAAACAAATAGCTGCAATTTTCATAATTTTCACAAAAATGAAAATGTTGGATCGTCAATACCTACAGAATATTGTTTACTTTTGAACTTTTCTTGCCATTTTTGTTGCAACTAATCCTGTTTGGCTGGAATCATGCACACCGACAGGCAATGTAAAAAGAAGTTGTGTAAAAGGATGCCGTTAAAAAGTTAAATAAGAGTCCTCTTCTTTTCTCTTTTAATGTTGCTTTTTATAGTTCATAATGTGTTAAAATAAACCACAAAAGCTCATGTCAGTCAAATATGTACTTTTGTTTGTCAAATGTGTACTAGCCCTCCAAAGTATTCGAAATTTTTAGGAACGTCAAACTGTCCTGTTCCCTTAACACTCGACTATCTCTTCTAAGGGGACATCGTACTTAAATATAGCCAACAGCTCGGATTTCCTCTTTTTATAATTTGCTAATAATTATAATGTACGTGTACATTTGGTGTTGTATGATAATATATCTGAGCATAACGAAAGCTACAATAACGACGTAAGAAGAAAGAAAGAATTTCAGAAGAAGAAATATCAAAAGAAGAAGACAATCCTGAGTCAATTGATAATCTCAATGATTCACATAATTCGGGACAATTCATACAAACTAGACTTCTTCTTACGAAATTTCAAAAAATGTTGGAGGATATTA